TTTTCGCACAAATCCACGTACGGATTTTCTGTATTCCTAGCTGTGCACATTAAAATTTCCGAGTTTGTCTGCGCTGCAGTGCGTCATTTTTTTGTACACTTTTGTGAGTAGCTGCGCACCCTGGGAGATAGTGAAAAAACAATTACAGAGTTTTTTACAGTCATTGAGAGTCATTTGACTGCACGAAAAGACTTTAAAATGATCTATAAATATTAAAAATTTTTCATAACTTTGAAGTCTTTCGAAATTAGCAAGAGTCAATTAAAGTTACGTATAAAGTAATACCTCCTGAGTAATGTCAAAAGACTTTTCAAGTGATTGGAGTTTTTAAAAAACTTAAAAGTCGTTTAGAAAAAGTTATAAGTGTGCATGCAGCCCCTTGTATTTATTTGCCTCTCTGTTTCTGTCCTTTTATACGACTGGGCCATTTATAAGTATCCTCTATCCGTGAACATATCCGCTTGGATCTATTATGATTATATAAATTCGCTTCGATTTATTTGGCATATGTAAGTATCTTAAATGGTAAAAGTCATGAACTCATGCGACTACCTTGAAAGTCTTTAAAATAGAATGGTTAGTTGAGCTGCGAATGTTGGTTTTTCAACATATTTTGATTCGTAATGGAAGAAAAGGAACGACACTGAGTGGACGATCAATGTAAATCAAATCATCTCTTCAGTGGTTTGATTAACAGTTTTTCCCCACGTGGGTAACTTGAAAATAAGTAGAAAACGTATAAAAATAGTCAGACTGATTTCCGGTTATTGGGTAAACATTATAATTGCCGCGGAGCGTACTTTTAATTAATTCATAATTTATATAATGATCGTAAACCCCAAATGTGAATTGCCATGCGTCCCGTTTGCGGTGATACTCTGGGGACAACATTCCAAGTGCAAAAAAAAAAAAAATGAAAAAATTCAACAGCAGCATTATAAGCTCGTATCAGCAGCTCGTTACGGGCGATGTGCGCTAACCCGAGGACTTGGCCATTCCTGCCACGCGCTCGTTCTCTCGCGAGAGAGCAAATATCATTTTATGCGTCGTGAATTTTTCTCCCATTTTTGCGAATCGCCCGTACTACATCCACCGAGTGTGCGAAAATCCTGTGCGTGAGGTCCACTAGTTGGAGGAGAGAAGGCAATTAGAGGCGAAAGAGTCGAGCCAAGCCCGGGGTTGGTTGGGCAACGGATAGGCCATGAGCATAAATAAAACCGCGCGTGCGTGAGTGTGCAGATACATCGAGAGTCGCATGAGTTACGGCCATTGTAAAGTGGTTGATGTCGATCGCCGGTGATGGATACTTTATATGTTTGCGCGAATTTTCGCGCGTGTGAAAAATGTGGAAAATCGAGGGTTGCAGTAAGTTGACGGATCGGTGAGAAGTACCTGAGCAGCTCACCTGTATCGTCAAATTTTAATTGGAAACCTAAATTGTACAATATAATTTGAATGCAATACATAGGGCTACTGTAGGCTCGGTGAAAGGGGTATTATTGCTGGGGCACTTATTTGTTGGATTCAGTTGTTCGCTGATTGATTAAGTCGGCTTTTTTGAATTCGCAAATACTTTGTTTTCTAAATGAAATCAGGTCTACGTATTGTTTCCATTACAATTAAATTGATCAGTCGGAACTAAAAATTGTAACTATAAGTGGTTCAATTAGAAGAAATTTTGGCTATTTAACTTGACTATATACTCATGCTGTTAAATTTTATATTACGCTAGTTAATGTTATCATAAATTAATACTTATGATCATTCATCAAGTTAAATACACGAACGAGATGGGTTATAGTATAAATTTCTTGTATAAAACATATAATTACCAGTTAAGTAATCAGTTAAATTTTTCTTTTCCACTTGAAGATATCAACAACTGTAGTTAACAACAACAACAAGTATGATTTATTATTACAACTGAAAAATTTTTTTTTTCAGAATATTTTGTTCTAAAAAAAACTAAAATAACATTTATGTTGATGAAACAAAAAAAAATTCCAGTTGTGTTGTGGCAGCCAGCAACTTATCAGTTAGAAATCACTAAACTAAGATCATTCGTCACGTACAGACTCCAAAAACGGGCGTTAATTAAAGCCAATCCATCTTTAATTCATATTTTCTCCTGTCTATTAGATAAAACACTTCAACGTAATTAGAACGTAATTTAAAAAAGTGTCTGGCTGCTTCAGACAGATGTCTTTCCACCTCGGCGTTGTTTTTTTTTTTCTTTTCGCTACGCCACGCGTAGTTGATTCTTGCAGCTCACGATCGATGAAAATATTTCTCAACATGTAGTTATAAAAAATGACGTAAATGTGACTATACATAAAAGAAGAGCTGTTAACAACTTTAAGTGTACGTGTAGTTTTGTTAGTGAAAAAATAGAGTCTTGCGAAATATATTGGGGTTTTCAATTTTTATATTTACTTTAAATGAAAATTTTTAATAGGTTTTCCATAAATTTTAAGGTAACAAAATGTATGAAAATGTTTATGTCTTGAAACAAGGTAGAGAAACAATGAATAGAAGAACTTGTTACAGTCAAAATATTTTTCATCTGGTAAGTATCGACCTCTTACTGTTAAATGAGCATGTTCATGAAGATAATGAAAAAATCTTACATAACACATAATTTGTACAGAATCATAATTACTTTATTTAAAACACGTAGTACAATTTTAGCGATAGTAGAAAACATAAACATAGGTAGACATATATTTTCTTTATCATATTCTGAGTATCTTATTTACCAAATGAAATAATGGATAAAATTATCACAATTATATTTAGCAAGAGGTGGTACACTTGATTGATTTTTTGTACACATGGGTTGTGATCTTTTAACGTATCATACTGCATAGATACTTTTTGGCACATTGATGAGAAGTAGTAAATATGTCAAACCAACGCCAAAGTCCTAAGATGGTCTTTCGTAAGGTAACAAAAAATCTCGTCAAAGACAATCGGGAAGGCCACAGAATCTATCGACATTAATTGACTCAATTTTTTCACAGCTTTCTGTTTAAGCCTCTGATCTTGGCGCAATTCAAAGAATCTTGTGACCAAAAGATCCTTGTAGATGGGAAAGTGATCATCTGTCACTTGCTGTCGAAACATCTCCAAAACACCGTCATACACGACCCATGACCTAGCACTTGTGTCACACAGAACATTTAGCAACGTGAAATTATAAATCGGTGTCTTCTGTATTTTTTCCAGTTCGATTTGACATTTGCTATAGAAATTTAGCCACTTCTTTTTCAAGCGATCCTTGAAATTTATCGGTTTTGGGCCTGTCCAGCTCGGCATGTCGCACAATGCTGCGTGTCTCAATATAATATCGGCTATCACACGCTTTTTTACCATCATAAACTTCAGGAGTCCATGATCTAACTGAAACGTCGAGCCGTGCATCAATAAGAATCTCAAAATGCTTACGGTGTATACGTTTTTCGTGAGTGCAACCATCAGTGCCGATCGGTGGGGTTTGGGAGTATTCACATGAGCCCCGTGCTCTATCAGAAGTTCCGCGGAGCGCAATATGTTTCGTTTGCTCTGAAATTTTCCGAATCCACGCGAGAGACGTAAAGTATCGAAACAATAGCCAAGCGGATTAGACCCTAGGAAGTCGTACATGTTGACAGTTGCGCCTCTTTTGAGTAAAAATTGTATCATGTCAACGTTTGCTTGACTCGCGGCGAAGTGCAAACACGTCCGGCCGACCCCATCTACCGCGTTGACATCACTACCGGCATGCACCAACGCTTTTACGCGATTGAAGCCACCTATAAAATAAAAATTGAAAAAGAAACAACGTTATGAATAAAACTACAGTGACAGTAAATCATTACATAGTGTACTAACTATAGTTTATGTGGGAAAAATATCATCATAAAAAAAAAACATTTTTACATCCAATTTATTTTCTGTAGCCTATTAAAAATACAGAATACACGAATTTCATAATGATCGATAAGTTGAGTAGTAGGTATACTTATACTGAGTGCATAAAGTCTACTTCGCGGTACGTGTTTTTCTTACTATAATAGAAACAGGACATAACAGAAAGATGATCTATTCAACGTGTGTAGTTTCACTATGGAACTAATTTTCTCTCTTTTCTCTCTCGTTTAAAAGAAAAAATCTCGCAGTATCACGGAATAAAGTTTACCTTTCGATGCAATCATTGAAGCAACGTGCAGTGGTGCAAACTGTTGTCGACTCCGTCCCTCAAGATCACATCCAGCTTCAACTATTATCGACAACATGGAAGACGACGTCCCCACGGACATATGAAGTGGTCCATATCCATCTCTGTAATATTTATTGTCCATGACGGTTCCGGCGACTATGAGTTTTTTCGCCATCCTCGTATTGCGTTCACATAACGCAGATGTAAGCGGAGGATCTCCAAGGCTATTTTTGTAGTTGACTGACCATCCCAGTTTTATCAGATAAGAGACGATCAGACTATAGTTTTTGCATACCAAGTAATGCATCACTGTGCAGTCCAGATGTTCGTACAACCTACACATGGTGTAGTCGTGCACTTTTTGTAGCAAACCGTCAATCTTCTTGCTATCCTGAGTAAGTATTGCCCTATTGAGGTCCTCAATCCACTGGAGAAAGTAAAGTTGAAGTATGTTAGATTGTGATTCTTGATTTTATGTATGATACGAATAATAATTTTTCTATCAAAAAAACAATAGTTTTAACATGATTGTTAAATGTTTACCGTGGCAATCTCAAACACTTACCTTGAGCATAAAATCCACTGTTATGCGATGATCTTTGAAGGAGATTTCCATCTCATTGTATGGAACTAACACCCCGCTAGATTTGCAGTTGTTAAACAGCGGATTCTCCATATTGTATATTTTAGCTATTGCACCTCGAAAATCAAGAACAGGAGTGAACTCTGTTGTTCTAACGACTTGTTTTAAAATGATGAATTGGTGGGACTTATTACTTGAAAATGCAGTACATGACAATTAATGGATGAGTATTTCATGGGTCTTATGTTCAAGTGAGTAATATCTCCGCATAAGTACGTGCTTAACGACAACATTTGATGTCCTATTGTATGAATCATCGTCACCGAATTACCAAAACTTTCATATCTTAATGATTTCTGTAGGTGATTTGGAGTCTGAATATTCCAAAATTCAGAGAAAGCATGAACATAATGAATAAGTATTTCATCAAACTACTTCAGCGATCATTTAATGCGTAAATGTTATAGTAGTATCCAAAATACCTATTTCCAATAACGAATTCATAGATGTGTCCGATGCAGGAAACTTGTACCGTGTGCGATCACATTTGTACGGTAAATGTCTTTTTAACACTGTTTATGCTACAGTTATTAATACGACTAAAAATAAAAAATAAATTAACAAAGAGATTTTATCAGATTTCAGTTGCAATTAAATGACTCTGAAGGACTAACTCAAGGCTTCGGAAAGACGTTTAGGTGAAGATCCTCAACGATATATTTGATCAGATAAATTCACAATCTACGACTTTTTATTAATTTGTTTCTTGATCGAGACAAATAGGGATAAAGAACTAGTATATACACAATAAGACATTTGTCTTTACTAACAAATAGTATACGAAAGTTGTTGAAAATTAAAAAATTCAAAACTATTAAATGTTGTTGAGCGGCTTTGAAAGTCTTTGAAAATCTTCCGAATTGAATCATCACAAACAAATCATTCCTAAGTAATCACTGATATGACATATCATATATAGTATGTCTCATTATCTTGAGTGTGGTCTTGACTGTTGACGATTATCGATAAAAATCCAGATACCAGCTTAATAGTCCTTTCTATACTTAACTATTGTTGAAAAAGCCAATGCCTTATGGTTAAATTGAAGGCTTTGAAAATTGTGTAATTCCCGGTTATTCACACCTATGTAACTACAAAACGATGCAATAGAGCCGTGCTATTGTTAAACATTTTTTGTTTCTTTTCACCTTCTGGTGTGAAAGTAAATAGCTCTCAGTGATGATTAAAGAACATAATATACCCTTCATGATTCGCAAGTCGAACGAGTTCGTAGTAGGTACGACTCGCAAAAAACATGAAGGCTCGCTGGCGCCAAACAACTGCAAGATAAACTATCACATCGAGAAAAAGGAGTATTGAATTTCCCCTCACGTAAACTCGAGACATAATGCACTATCGCTGTTTACGAGACTCCTCGGTACTCACCCCTCGCACACTTGGACGCGATTTTCCAAAAATATCTTCGAAGCGGCACGTGCACCACTGCACGATATTTTCATCGGAACGATTACAAGCTCTTCCCAATGCTTGCGTTTACAAGTACATGGGAACGCTTGTTCTTCGTGTATTAACACGTGCAAATCCACCACTGCAGCCCCGCATACATACATATACATATATCCTCAAACAGTTGCGCAAAGCTAACGCGACGTACCTACTAGCCGAGAGGCGAAAGTTTTAAGCGTGGCAGAGTACAACATCAGGGTCGGCTCTCTCTTTCTGCGCCTCTATACGTGTACGCGAGGTCCTCGTCATATGCCTCTCGGACACCCATTTACACATCTCGGAGCAGCCAGCCCGCAGGAGGAATCATTACGTTACGGACGCGCGCGCTCCGCTTAGGGGAGGCGAAATTACATCACTAGCTGCAGCCGCTTGAAAATCACGACGCGTGCCCCGATACACGTACACGTGTGTACATACTATATGTATATGTACACGTACACACAAACTGCCGGAGGTGAGCGATAATTGCAGCCACGTGCTTTTGGGTTCCGCCGACGATAAGGGAAGGGTATATGGATTTCTGATGCATACATTCGACTTTACGGAGATGTGTCTGTAGGTCCGATTGTTTATTGTGCTCGTCTGTCGCGATACGACGCCTGTAGGTGTATGGCTAGTTTTTTAACTCGAGGGTGTTGCTCGACGTGGGATCAGGTTTTCAGTTGGTTGGTGCTGTTGCAGCTGTGTTCGGCCTCTTTTTTTTCTCTCTCTCTCTCTAATGGGATCGTGAAGGCATGCGATTGCTCTTGTTTTTGCGCGCGAAATCCATATACCAAATCGCCGAACATTGTTGCGAGGGTCGGCTTGATGGAATCGGATTACCTTGCACATGTACGAAAGAGCGAGAGGGGGCTTATGAAAAAAAAATTTTTTTTCTACATAAACATGTCTTTTTAATCGATAATTTGGATAGTAAATGATTGCGAATTTTAGACTAAAAAAGTTTTAAGTGTGTCCGGTTTACAAATACACTGCACTTGCCGTGATTTTTGGAAAATCTCAAGGAAAATCGTATAAAGTCCAATGATACATTCGTGAATGAAAGACATCTCACTTTCGATAAATCGTTAAGTTTAGTTTCATGTCCTTAGTCATGAAAAACGAGTACTTGATTCAAATAAAATGACTGCCGTTGCAAATAGAGTTTTCAGCGTATATTAATGTGGTCAATCAGCGCTGAATCCGCTACCCATCTCGGCTGATCTAATAATCGTGTCCCGAGTCCGCTTTGAATTTCGAAAAAAGAAAAAAGAAAGAAAAGGAATCGATTTCACAAATGGCACACACGGAGGGGCAGCACCGTTCAATTAAGAGAGTTGTTTTCTTAACGAATCGAAAGTCGGCGGCTCCGTGTGTGACGGCTCTCTGCGCATTTGGAGCCATTAAAGACCTCAAGGCCTACCGTGGTCTCATGAAAACACGAGCGCGCACTTGTGCCCGTACAATGTTCGACGTCCCGTTATAATTGGACCCTTATTGATCCAGCGAGCTATCCGCGTTAAATTTTACATTTTTCGCTGCACCTGCGCCGTGTTTTCGTCACTACCACAAGCACGAGCGAAAAGCTCGTCCAGGCGAAAATGGCCGGATTCAATTAGCCGCTCTCTAGTATGGCTGTGCCATTAAATGCGGCGTGTTTTTTATTTATTTTTTTATTTTTTTATTTTTATTAAAAATAAGTGTAGAAGAAAGCTAAGCCAGAAGCGAGATGATGAAATTGCGCGTGTACTTTGTGAAAAAGCGAAAATCGGTAAATTTTCCAGATATCTCTGATGGTTTTGCACATTTTTTAGTCACTCTAAAGCCATTCCTAGCTCCAAAAGAAGAGGCTCTGAAAAAACTATACTTCACAGCTTGAAATCACGCTCCATGACATTTTTACAGACTTGTAAGAGATCGGTAAACTCACATGATAATACGGTGGATCAAACGTTACCGCATTTCATTGCTTTGCAACAGTTTTATCGCCTCCTATTGCGCATAACACCCACGTAACTTGCCGATCTCGCGAAGATACCGATCGCCGATTTTAAATTGAAAACAATATGGCAAACGTGTAGACACGTTCGCCGGATCTAAGTTTGATTCTTTTTTTCTTTTTCGCTGTGTGTGCGCGGATCAATAGCACACACCGCTAGCGATTCTCGCTCTCCCTGGCGTTGAAATCTCCCGCGCGATCGGCCCGTTTAATCGCTCGTAAAGAGCTGCAAGGGAGCATTGCCTGTGCTGTATCCATCCCATTCATTGTGCCGCGTGTGCGAGAGAAATTGAAAAGAAAAAAAAAATCTGGGCCACGCTAGTGGGCGAGAATATTCAGGATCTTTGTTACGTATGTCACGTATGGATGTTTTAGATTTTTTTAAGTATATGTATGCTTTCTCCGATCGCCTTTAAAAAACCCACTTGGAAACGAGTGCTCTGATTTCGGAGTCGATTTTTTATACAATTGTGCAAATGTGACCAGTTGTACGACCGATCGAATTAATAACAGGTTCGGCGCCATTGAGAAACCTAATTTTCTGATAGCACGTGTCACAAAAACCTGTCATTTCTATGTTTGTCGAAGCAACAAAAAAAAAAAAAAAAAAAAAAAAAAAATGTAACACATTTTATTACGTGATTCGACAAATCGACATTTTCCTTATACATACACACGCGTACTTCTTTGCATCCAACAACAAATTATCTGCAGCATTTCGGTCAGCTCGTCGATACCTGTTATGTGTAAGAAGTTTACCAGTCGTGCAATCGTAAAGAACAATCGATTGGCCGTCCAGACCCCCCGGGCTAATCAAGCCGAAAGATTTTAAGCCTTGTAGATTCTTTTTGTTCAGGACAGTGCAAACAAATCGAGCAAAATAGTATGGCAACCCAGCTGACAAGTCATGCGAGCTTTTGTCCCGCGATTATGCGTGACTTTGAACAAAACTACACTCATGCATGAAAAATCACGTAATTCCGTGAGAAGTTGATTGTAGGTGATTAAAACAAAAGTCGATTTTCGAAAGTCCCCGGTGAAAGGGAGAGCCACTCAATGCACGGCAGAGCCTCGGGAACCAAAAGCACCTTGACCACGTGTCACCGCGATCTCTCGTACATTACAACCAGGGCATTGTAACGAATGAGGTAAAAGCGAGCGCCCAAATATATAAAACAGCTCTCCCTAGGTCCTGACGGGCTTCGTCCTCGAGATACCCCTCGCAACCTTTCTCACCCCCCCCTTTCGTCCTCCCGTCCACTCGGAGTGACTTTTACTCTTGACTTTTCGGAAGTCCTCTCTCTCGCGCCCCCTCGCAGCTCTCCACCGCTACCACCGTCGCCACAGCGTACCCAACCCCGCGCGAGCAAGGGGACGACGCGTTGGGCCAGACAGGAACTGTCGCAGTTAAGTTCTGACGCTTGGCGCGAGTAGAGAGCCACCGGAGCTGCTCCCATACACACGTGGACGGCCCGCGATCGCCGGCTCAGGGGGTTCATTTGGATACCGATTCTCGCGAAGCACCTCGATACACAGTGTATTTTACCGATACGGTATAGTCGCGAGTGCGTACTTTCGGCGGGAGGAGGTGGCTTTTTTCCAGCCTTGCACAGACAGAGCCGGCGAAATGAGGAACAGGTATGTCAACCTGTTGACCTATACATCGCGAGATCGTTTAAAGTATCCGCAACGAGTGTCAAGTTAACTTTTTGAGTTAACAATGTGCCTTGTAAAAATCTATAAATC